AGGCTGCCCAGGGAAGTGGTTGAGTCACCATCCCTGGAAGTATTTAAAAGACGGGTAGATGAGGCGCTTAGGGACATGGTTTAGTGGGTGTGGTGGTGTTGGGTTGACGGTTGGACTCGATGACCTTAGAGGTCTTTTCCAACCTTAATGATTCTATGATTCTATGTTAATTTGTGTTGCCTTCTAGAATCATGACTTTATGGAAAGATAGCTTTTATTCTCTTCTTTATCCAACTAACAATATCTATACTTCATGTTAGACAGCAATGCATTTGCTCTGCTCTGCGGTTCACAAAAAGGCCAATTCATTTGTCCATAGTATGAAAAATGTGATGGTTTTGGTGCTGTTAGTCTACTTCTAGTCTTTACCGTTCTAAACTTCCCTGTAAAAAGAGGAGACCGTGGAAGGTAGAAAAAAGCAGTAGCTCTTCTCTCCAGCAATAAGCTATGTAGTATTAATGCCACAAAATTCAAACTTCTGTGTCCCAAACCTCAGATCATTGACACTTTCTGTAATCTCTTCAGGCTCTCTTGGAACAAGATGTCTTTCACCGCTCTCTTGTGGCATGCTGCTTGGAGATCGTGCTTTTTGCATATAGCTCGCCTCGTACCTTTCCCTGGATCATTGAAGTTCTTGACCTCAGGCCATTCTATTTCTATAAGGTAAATAAATACTGTCTTAGGACTGGATCTGTGTTAAAAATGGCACGTTACTGGAGTAACTGCCGGAGGTGAAGCTGAAATTTAAAGCCAGAAAACCATTTTGTAAACGGTACTTAACTGTAACGTGCTGTTGATCAACTTCTAGTTCTTAATATATATACACTTTTAGTAGACTAAAGCATTCAAGCATATATTTTGATGATATTCATGTTTACTGACTGCAGGATATAGTTCTGCTTATTAGTGCTAAAATAGCAATAATAATGTTTTGTTGCCTTTGGCTACTACTAATTATCACAGGCTTGCTTTGTTAAATTTTTTTTTTCTCTGTTTTGTTTTATATAACAGAAGATAAAATCTCTTCTCCTGGGCGTTCTCTGTTCTCGCTCTTTTTTTAACCTCATTCCCTCCTGCCTCCAATGTCATTTCTGTTCTTTGACTTGTTTGATCCTTTTATCATCTGTCCGTATGCCTCCTGTTTTTACTAGATACCTAACAGCTTACTGCGGTTAGTCCTGAATAAATCAGAAGTAGTTCTGTTTAGATTATAACAACCAAAAAATTGAACCCTTTGGGAAAGCTGTTTTATATTCTGTTCTCCCTTCTTCCTTCTTCAATCCTCAGATGTAGGGCAGTAGTGAAACTGAAACAAATCTGTTCATATTGCTGTCGCTGTTGGTAGACTACATCAATACCAGATGCACTGGTGCAGATCCAACTTTGTGGAACGTTTGATTTCAGTTTTCTTTGCTATTCAGTGTACATTCTTGTGGCACTCTTACTTGAAAAAAATGGCCATCACAAAGACTTCACATGAAAGTGCCAATATTTATTATTCCACGAGAGAGCCAATAGTTATTATTCCACTTGTGCCATTTATAACGTTTTCTTTGGGTGCTTAGTTTCTGTAGTATAAATAAGTAAACACATCAATAAGTCCTCCAGGGAAGTTTTATGGCACTTCCATCTCTGGAGCTTTAGAAAAACAGGCTGAATGTTCCTCTGTCAGAAATAACATAAATAAAGTGGCTCTTGCATGGGAGCATAGGGGTGGAGTATGATATTTCAAGGGCCTTTTCAACTCTCTTCAACCCTGATTTGTACATGTTAAGGGTTCTAACCTTTTCTTAAACAAAACTTTAAAACAGTTGTTTTCAACCCTTTTCATTATGGGCTGCTTGTTTGAAAGGAAGGAAAGCTTAAATGCTGGGGTTCTCAAGTACCAGCCTAAGCGGATATGCCCGCTTATATCCTAGGTATGCTGCATGTGCTGGGTGAGCGCTCTGTGTGTTTAGGGCTTTCGTTCTGTACATGCTTAGTGATGGTGAGAGAGGACCTTAAAAAACCAACAAAACAAACCAAAAACCCTGTGAGTGGGTTGTTCTGCATTGATGGGACATCTGCTGTCCATTTCCAACTCCTGGATTGCCTTTGGGGAAGGGGGTTAAAAAAAGAGGGATCAGAAGAGGGCTGGGGAAGATGAAGATGCAAGGAGGAGGCTGGAGCATTCTATGTTGAAGAGAAGTTTTGAACAGGATCCTGAAATGAATAATGATTTGATAGTGTTAAGGATGAGCGATATGACTTTGCTTTTGTGCGTGTGTCTTGCTACCATTAGGTAATTGAAGTACTGATTCGGTCTGAGGAAGGACTTTCCAGAGACATGGTGAAGCACCTCAACAGCATTGAGGAGCAAATTCTCGAGAGTCTCGCCTGGACTCAGGACTCGGCACTCTGGAGTGCTCTCCAGGCCTCAGAAAACAAGGTTCCGACCTGTGAAGAAGTATGTTACCTGTTTTCCTTTTATTAGGAAATTCACGTTCTTTTTCTTACTGTTGTTTTATACAGAAAACTGTTTAAATGAGACAACTGCTGCAGAAAAACTTCTATTAATAGATTGGCAAAAAGAAGGGAAATGTATTTGTTATCTTACACAGACATTTCTTATTTCTCAGGTAATATTTCCCAGTAATTTCGAAGCAAGCAATGGAGGAAGTGGGCTTGGGCATTTGCCTATGATGCCAATATCTCCTATAATTCATCCTCGAGTAAAAGAGGTTCGGACAGATCTTGGTGGGAGTTTAAGACGGGGTATGTTCAAGGTTTCTGATATTTGAATGTATGAATTTGGGGAGAGGGGGTTTAGACTTCTTTATAATTGCAAAAAGCAATCTTGAATCTGAATTAAGTATTCAGAATTGTGAAGCCTCTTATTTGATCAAGGGAAAGTCTAGATGCATCTGGTCAAACCATTGCTGTGTCTTACTGGCAGCAGACATTGGTGATAATGCTTCACTTTGGAACTGGAGCAGTTCTGCCGCTGTTTTGATGCAAGGGTTACCTTGCTCTTGGGTGGGTTGTCATCTGATGGCTTATTGTCCTTTGCTGTTCAGATTTTTCCAGGTTTTGGTTTTTTTGTGTGTGGGTTTTTGGTTTTTTTTTGTTCTCGGTGAGTTTGCATTTATTCCTCCTTCCTACAGAACTTTTTTTGCGGGAGGGGAGGACAATACTTTGTCTTCAGTATTCTTTCCTGTGAACAACTGCCTTGCTCTTTGCAGATTCCTAGGTATCGCACAGAACTGTCTCTTGACAGTGGGGGTGAAGAGGCAGTGGCAGCACTGCTGTTGCTTTTTTCATAGTTGCCTAGTTAGAAATTGCTGCTTTCGTTGTATCCCAAACAATAGTCCGTAGGTTCTTGCTGGTGCACTGTGGACTGATTGGTGTTGTGATGTTGTCTCCTTTTGTGTTTGTCTGGCAAATTGCATTACAAGACTGTTTGTTTTTTGCTTTTTAAATACTTATTAGGAAAGAGATGTATAAGCGGTTGCTGTAGGTGTTATAGTTAGTTGTTTGATGGAAGGGAAAGCAACTTGGAGATGGTGTCTTATATATGGGTAGGGCTGTGTGAGGCTTTATCTTGTATATGAGAATCTGGTACCAAACGCTCCTCCTAGCTTCAAATGGAAAATGGCGGGGATTGGAAATGTTTATTTGCCCCCGTTACCAAGAAAACCATCCTGGCAGAGTTAGAATTAAGGTCTCCAATCAGTCTTACCTGGCCAGTTATCCAGGAGGTTTCTGCTTCATGGGAAATAGGAAACTGCTGTCATTGGCATCCTCACAAGTGGATAGCAGACTTCAGCAGAAATGCGAAAAGCCAAAGGAACAGAAGCTTGTAAATTAGTATTGTGTACTTCAGTGTAACTGCTGGAGCAAATGTTTGAAAGCAACAGAAAAGCCTGTGAGGAACCGGTGGTGGACGAGGGTGGAGGCTTCTGACTGGGGTTAGTTTAGAGAGAATTTAAAAGCCAGAACATACAGAAGACAGCATATCCAGGGAATGTGGTCAGTGTTCCTGTAGAGGAATGTGTTCAGAGGAATAGCACTTGCAAATATTACTAATCTGCTAAGCAGACTGGAGTAAGTATCTGTAACCCTGCGTGTTCCTCAATCTCTGCAAATTAGCTTGGTTACTCGTCTTCCATGTAGTACCTGATTGCAAAACTGAGCTGTCTGGGATGACTTCAAAAAAAAAGGAGACAATTAGACTACTGGTCTTGGTCATATCGCCTAGGAACAGTGAACTGTAAGATTAGTTCTTAACTAGAAGTGATTTCTTGTACTCTGGTTTTGTAGTTTGAAGGTTAGCCTTTTCCCCTCCTGTGGAGAAGTATTCCTATTAAGCTGCTCCTCTTAAGGTTTTTTTTTTTCTTTCTCCTTTGCATACTAGACATGCAGCCATTGTCACCAATCTCTGTTCATGAGCGCTACAGTTCTCCTACAGCTGGAAGTGCTAAGAGAAGGCTCTTTGGAGATGACAGCCCCAAAGAAATGCAGATGGAAAAAATTTTGACGGAAGGAACTAAGTTGACAATTGCTCCAGCGTCAAGCATTGCTGCTGAAAATGTGTCAGTTTCTCCTGGCCAAACAGTACTGACCATGACAACAGCTACAGTACCGGGAAAAACAGGACAGAAGGTTACCATCCCACTGCACGGTACGAATTCTTCCCATCTTTCTTCTCTGCTAGATGTTTTGCTTGCTCGTAAGATCTGCTTAGACCAACCGTGCATCTTGAACATGTATCGCTTTTTCTTTTTTAAAAGAACATGTATCACTTTATAAAAAAAAAAAAGCTTAAGTTTATACTGACATCTCCTTCCATGGAGACATCTGATATCTGACAAGCATTCCTCCTTGCGAAAAATGTTGTGGGGTTCTTGCTTCTTCCAGTTACGCCTCACCACAGATTAAGCGAAGCTTTGATTCTCGGCTCCAATAATTATTTACTACTGTTTGTCTTTACTGTTTGTCTTAACTTTGGTCTATTATAATCTTAAAAGGCTCTGGAATTTCTGGATAAGGGCTATGTATTAAGGTTAGTAAAATAGTGGGGGATTTTTGTTTTGGTGAAGTTGGGTGATGCTTGAATATTTCTGAAAATGATACATGATAAATGAGTTTTATAGCCTTTTTTAATTTAAAAACTGGATCTATAGATAAAGATGAAAAGAAAAATATCTCCACTTTTCATGTTTAAGGAGATTTTCAGCAAGAGAATTTGACTACTGAGGAAACTAATGAGGATTCTATACGATGTGCTGTCAGGTTTGCAGAATAATAAAAAAAAAAAAAGAAAGGGAATGCCCACCTCCCCCAAAAGAGTGGAACACTGACTACAGAAGTGACTTCTTGTGCACTTTGTACTTTCAGATAGTTTTAGAAATGATCGTTCATGTTCATATTCTTCCTTTAAGCATTACCAGAAATGTAATTTTTAATCATTTCTGAAGACTCTGAGGGACAAAGAGTCTTTTTAGCATCCCGTACAGAAGGATGAGATGTCTTTAGTATGAAATGTTTTTGAATGAATTTATGATTTGCGGTTTAACTCTGCAGCATGAGGAGAGCAAACGGTTTATTTCTGGATGTGTATATCGTCTCCAGGTATTGCAAATGAAATGGGTGGGATCACATTGATACCCATTTCAATGAATTTAGGTCAGCCATGTAAAATGGAGGCTCAGGCTCCCTGCCACCCTCAAGTGAATCACGCACAAGAAGTGCATCTGTCATCAGCAAGCAAACCAAAGAAAACAGGATCCTTGGCACTGTTTTACAGAAAAGTAAGTGTCTTTATTAGGAAGTCATGCTTTACTTCTGTTTGTGGCCATGCTGAAACTTGCCTCCTTGTGCAGTTTTCATTACCTTTCAGTCTTCACGTACCTTTCCTTTGGCACGAGCAGTTCTTATATACCTGGGAGGAGAAGGGGAAAAGATGTTGTCAAGTGTTGCAGAGAATCCAATTTTCCCCCTTCCCCTCCCCATGAGATGCTTTGTACTTTTTTTTTTTTTCCTTTTAATTAGCAGCTTCTGTAAGTGAGTACCTAAGAAATATCAGTACTTCTCTTGTCTATTTTTACTGCCTCCCACATTTGCAAGGGTTAGACATACCAGAAATGAGATTTTTCTCCTGTGTCTTGCTCATTCAAAACTGCACTGCTTCGGATCCTGCATCTGGAGATTCTCATTTGCAGTTTTCTGAGGTCTACCCAGTAGTGCTGATCTTGCTGGCATGGGGCCTCAGAAAGCAGTGATGAATAACACGCTGTCTAAAAGTTTCTAGAAAGAAGGAACTTAATTGAAATAATGAAGGATTTAAGAGGTAAGTTAAGAACTGGGTGTGCTTCAGAGAAAATTCAGATTACTTGTTTCTCGTTGCTTTCATTTCCAATGTGCAGTGTGTGAGGGGTTTTTGGAGGAGGCAGGGGTAGCTTGCCTAAATGCCTGCAAAGAATATATGCCTAAATTAATCTCAAAAATATTAGAAGATTTTTTTGCTCTTACTTTCTTACTAGAGAGGTTATTTTCAGAGGTTTTCCCCTTTTAGGGTATTGTATTATTTTAGGATATTGTAAACCTAGAGAATTCTACATTGAACAATCTTTAAGTTAAATCTTAATACAGAAACTAATTCCTGGAAACACTTGTAAGCCACATCCTGTGTCTGAACTATTGGTTCTTTAATTTTGATAGTGAAAGTCTGACTCTCTGAGAATGGATTAAAAATTGATTAGCCAGCTGCCAGGCGTGAGCTCAGACTGCATTTTGGAAGCTTTATTCTCAGTTGGAATACTTCAGCGGTAGCCATGTATTTGACAAACCATGTGGTAGGCAACATATTCCTCTTAGTTATGAAGGAGAACTAAAATATTCACTTAAATTTGTCTTTAAATGTTGACCTTCTATTTACAGTGATCGTCATATTCAAAATGATGGTTTTTCCATACTTTCCTTTCTTGTTCCTGTTCAGTAGAGCAAGTGAAAATGAAATTAATTCTTTCTGCTTTCCAACATAAAGAATGTGCCTAATTACTATCCATGAAGTGAGAACTTCTGAAATAAATGGAAGAAGGCTAATGTTGCACTTGATAGCTATTTCAGGTTTTGAGACACATTTTTGGTAATAAAAAAGAAAAGAAAAAAATCCGTCAGCTTGCTAATCTAAGATTACACTTAATCGTAATTAAAGTATGTCCCTTCTTTGTGCTTGTTGGAAGTGTTCCATTATAGTGAGAGTGTGATATGACTGTAGTCATAATGTTTTTAAGCGGATTTCCTACACGCATTAGAGATCCAACACCTGAACAGAGCTGACAACTTAGTCTTTGAAGACATTGTCTTGGGCAGAGGGGGGAAATTTTGCAGAAACGAATTATTCAAATATAGAACAGCTCTACGTTGAGGACTTTCATTTTTGCAGAATAGGTTAAGCTCGTTTGGCTTGACTGTTTACTGTGTTGTCTTTTTCTTCCAGGTTTATCATCTGGCAAGTGTGCGCTTGCGTGATCTGTGCTTAAAATTGGATGTTTCCAATGACTTGCGCAGGAAGATATGGACGTGTTTTGAATTCACATTGGTTCATTGTGCTGATCTAATGAAGGACAGACATTTGGACCAGCTCCTCCTCTGTGCCTTTTATATCATGGCAAAGGTAACGTGTAGTTTTAAGAAATTCAGGGAATTTTATGTCCATTGGAAATGTAAATTGTGTTCACAGTTTACAATTTGATTGCTTTATTCATGTCATATTACTGGAGGGAAGGGAAAAGTCCTTTCAGGAAGTGGATGAAGTCCCAGTATATTTTTTCCTTGTTTTGCATAATCTTAATAAGTTCCCATCAACCAGCCACTTGGTTAAGAGAGGATTTTTCTTCTCTTCCTCAGCGCATTCACATTGAGCACTGGTCAGCATAGACAAAGCAGCGTGTGGTCTCATTGCCCCATATTTGTGTTTTCTATCCTGTTCGTCATCTTCATGATCTGTGTAATCTGAACTAAAAACACCATTACAGTTACAGGATTATGCAGGTGCAAAAATCTGCAGGAGCTCACAACCTTATGTATGGATGGAAAGTTTCTACTCCACAAAAGTCCTCTTAGCTATGGAAGATTCAGGTTGAGGAATTGAGCTGGTTGCCTGTTACTCAACTTCTTCATTTCTTATTCAATTTTCCATCATTGATTTAAGGTGTCACTAAGTTGTTTCTGGAATATTGGTTTGACTCAAACTTGAGAGCTGATGGCCATCAAGTCTGATTCAGACACAAATTCAGGCTCCTCTAAAACATTGGGGATGGATTACCTTTTCTTCTTGAGGAAGACAAACGAAGAGGAGCACTATCTGTGGAGGGAAACTGATGTTCAAATTGCAACTACCTGTGCTCTTAACTGTGGCGTAGCTTAGGCTCATTTGACTTCGATACTGATAGCTGTAGAAAAGCAAAACCATTGAATAGTCAGTGTTCTGTATTTTATCATGTAGTTTGTCAGTTGTTGGGTTTTTTTTAAATACAGTCTTCTGAGTGCTGTCTCCAGTGCAGCGTGAGACCTGACAATTCAGCCAGAGACCTTGATACATTCTCTCCTGGCTCCTACTACAAAAATTGTTGCTCATCTACTATTAAAATTACAGACGAATGGTTGAAAAACAAAGTCCTTTAACAAATGAGCTATTTTGAAGTACGAAAGAAAGCTGAAATTGCATGTGTTTATATACCTATCTAGTGTTTTGTTCAGGATTTCCTCACTTTCTGTTTAGAAAAGTTAAGGGGTCCAGTTTTCAAATTTACAAGTATGTTTTTGACTTAATAATATTTCCCTTCTTTAATTTTTAGTGTCACTAGAAGAAAAGTCAGAAAAGGAATAATTCCTAAGCATCATAAAGCAACAAAAGGCTTTAGTAGCTAAGAAACAAGGAATGCCTGAACAAGAAAAATGCTTGGTTTTTCATATTCTCATCACCAGAACCTTTAAAATTATGTATTCATAGTAAGACTCACGAAAAAGCTGTATAGAGGGAAGCTGATTGAATAGACCGGACCTGAGCAGCCTGACCTTGCTGCTTGCACTTGGTCTTCAATACCCTTTTCTTTTCCAGGTAACCAAAGAGGAAAGAACTTTTCAGGACATAATGAAAAGTTACAGAAATCAGCCACAAGCAAACAGCCATGTGAGTAAATAGTATTGTCTTTCCTTTTTATAGCTCTGATAGAGGTGACTTTTCAAATGTTTATGCTGTTAAGGGAAAAGTCAAATCCTCTTCAGTGTTATATTCATTCTTACTCAGATGGATTTCATCTAGTCTTCTGACTGCCTTGTTTTCCTTGACAAGAGTGTTTTTCCCCGGTGTCCTGTAGGTTTATAGGAGTGTCTTGTTGAGAAATATTTCTGCCGATGTCCTATTGGACAAAAATGCAAACCAAGATGTGGAGATGACAGAAGGTAAGTACAGCAAAGTAACCTGCTGTTTTTAAAAATGTACTTGTGGGTTTTTAAATAACTGAACTGTCAAGTAAAAGAAATGAAGCAAGTTTTACAGTTTTAAGTGTATTAAAGAAAAATAAATGTATTGTTGAAAAAGAAACCGTCTTGTCAGTAGCCCTCCTGTCTGTTAGATATGGAAAATACACTTCCTAGTTGGAAAAAATTTTTAATTTTGTTTCCTTAAATCTGGTTGCTCGAGGTTGAAGTGTTTCCTTAGTGTGTCAGTGATACTGTAGTTCTTTTTGGACAGCAACATTGGTTAACAAAGAAAGATGAACAGTATCTGGAATATTACGACAGGTTTTTTTTCTTAATATCACCTATCCTGAAGGCTTAAATAGGGAGAACTTTTTTCAGAAAATAAAGATGATGACTCTCTAAGACCACCATTTTCTTATATTCAGGTTTCTTTTAAATAGTTGATATTTTCTTTGCTCTGGTTTAGAGGAGAAAAGGGGTAAGAGTAGTATTTGAGAAAAGCATGAAAATTGTGCCATGCCTGTTTTCAGTGAGATGTCAGGAAACTGAGAGATCACAAGCCCATGTATGAACCCATGAGCAGAGCAGATCTGCAGCCAGGACGCACACAGAAATTTAGAAGACTCTTCTGTATGGTAAATTCCCACTATGGGCGGGATTCAACTGCTTGAACGAGTATTAGAGCCATCTCTTAAATGCCTTTTGAGGATTCCACCGGGGTCCAGGGAAGTGCTGATCTCCTGTAGGTTCAGCATCCTGTCTAGCAGCTGCGCAATTCTTGGATCTTGTAGAGCGTCTGAAGTGGCACTGGGCTTCAGTGGTTTGACAAACAAATGTACTTGGTTACAAAGTTCTTCAGTTGCTTTTCCTGCCAAACTTTTTCTTCAGTTAATAGACTTGTGTCTCCTTTACCTAGTATTAACTCCCGCTCTTTTGACACCAGCTTACAGGAACGTATGCTTGTGTTGTGACACAAGGCAGACGCACTAAGGAGTTACACTGATGGGTATCAGCTGAAGCTCTTGACGTTTGTCTTGTAATGCACTGATTGGAAGAGGCTTTATTCTGTGTTGCCCTGTTTCGCTTGGCAGTAAACAGTATGGAGGATGAAACAGAAAAGGTTGTATTCAGTAGGGGTCCGGCTTAATTAGCGGAGAGAGAATATTAACAGAAATATGCTTGCTGTGTGGCTGCAGATTTTTCCACTGAACAGCCATTTCGTAATATGCCTGAACAAATGGTGTCATGGCTTCCTTGCAGCAAACATGAGTTGAGTATGAAGCTATTCTTTGCCAGCTGATCACTAGAAACTTTCACAGAACCTAAAAGCTGGGAGTTGTCAGACTGCTTAAAACTTAGTTTTAAAAGCAACAAATGGCTTTGTACCACTCCCCAAAATAAGCATGGGAAAAGGGGTCAGTAGTGCTACAATTTTTTGCTACAGCTATTTCCAAGTTTGGAATAAAGATTTATGTTGGCCTTTTTAGCCATAATCCACCAGCCTGCTAGCAGCAATTCGTAGCTCTTCCTAATGTTCCCAACCACCTATAGCACACCCTGCTTCTATCTGAAGCACATTTCTTTAATTCATCTCATTAACTAGTCAATTTATGGATGAGTGCTTGTCAGCTGGATATTGTAAGTTTGAATCTGAAGCGCCCAGTTTGCTGATACTTATGTTTCTGAAATCTGAAGCTCTCTCTTATTGTTAGACTCGTCTGTGAAAACTGGCAGTTCCTCAGGACGATCCGCAGCAGAGAACTCCAGTGAGTCGGGAACAGAGGAGAGAGGAGATCTTATTAAATTTTACAATGCAGTCTATGTAGGAAGAGTAAAATCATTTGCACTGAAGTACGATATCACAAACCAGGATCATGTAGTAAGTAAAGTATTTTGGAATTTTGCTCTATCTAATAATCAGAGACACAGTCGTTTTTCCTGACAGTTAAACATGTCAATAACTTTGTTCTGTTATTCACCTGGTGTGGTTACAGAAGTCAAATAGTTGTAGGTTGTAGGTATGAGGACTTGCTTTAACAGCCTTTCAAGATGACAAATGCAGATGTAGTTCAGTTTACAACCCCGGTTTCAGCTTCTTTATATCAGTGCAACACCTATTTGCTCAAATGCTGTGGAGCATCTGTGTAACACATCTGGAAAATAAATTTGTTCTGTTGTTTGGTGGACACTTGATCTGTTACGGGATGAAATCTTCTAAAGAAGACCTGGAAGTGTATTAATCTTTCCTTCTGTGAAGTTACTGCTCCTAAATATCTTCTGATTCAGCTCCTATCCAAATTTGTCCTCTCTTGCAGATGGAAGCCCCTCCCTTGTCTCCATTCCCCAACATTAAACAACAGCCAGTGTCTCCTCGGCGGATCTCTCAACAGCACTCTGTTTACATTTCGCCTCACAAGAACGGTGCCTGCTTGACACCTCGAACTGCACTGCTGTATAAATTTAATGGGAGCCCTTCCAAGGTAGAAAGCAAAAAGATTGAAAGGGGTCGATTTGAGGGAGGCTTAATTAATCTCTTAATTAGGATGTGTTCTAATGCAGTGAGGTTTCATTGAACTAGTCTCTCAGTTTGCAGTGAAGGATAGAATTCTTTATGTAGAATCCATCACTCGCTCAGCAAAGAGGTTCAGAATAACTTTTTGTTCTCAGATAATTGAAAACCAGAGCAAGTTTGAAATGGAGTTGTAGTAATTCATGATTTTTTATCTTGATCGCAGAGTTTGAAGGACATCAACAATATGATAAAACAAGGTGAACACAGGAGTAAGAAACGAGCAATAACAATTGATAGTGACACTGAATCCCCTACGAAGCGACTCTGCCAGGAAAATGATGACGTTCTACTTAAACGTCTCCAGGATGTTGTTAGTGAAAGAGCAAATCATTAAAACTGCCGGTTTTCTGTGGGATTTAAAAGCTATGGAGTTGGATACAGCTGTTGTGCTATTTATTTCGTGCTTTTGTATACAGACAACTGCCAAGTTTCTTTAACATTGAACTTTTACCTGACTTCCACAGGATGCAAAAAGCAAGGATTAAGTAGTAAATGCCAGAGAATGAGAGGTGGTGATGATCTTCGTTCCCAAAGGCCACGCTGTGCTATAAGTTACTCTATTTGAGATGTTTTAGCAAGAGTGATCTGTAGAAAGCCATATTGGATGTTCTCCAGCCTAATTTAGAGCATCGTGACTTCTGAGTGTAACTCAGCTTCTAGTAATACTGGTTTTATTTTTGGAATAAGAATCATAAGGAAATGAGTGAAGTCAGTTAAGTTTCCTCAAGCTTTTGGTATTTGGGGAAGAAATTTCAGAAGTGCCTTATTTTAAAAGAATGTGGAATTTTATGCATTATTTTACTGTGGAGTAACTGGAGTGGAGAACGAATTGATCATTTAGCCTCAGGAAGAGCTGAGCAGTTTTGAACTGTATTTGTGCTGTGCTCCATCTCCAGTCAGAACTTCAGTAAAAGTGTATGTTACGACATGGATCAGACAGCTTTTGCAATAACAAAGGCAATAATCAAAAAGTACAAATAGCAGTGACTTAAATTGGACACTGACATAGGATAAAGCACTGAGATATGGTTCAGTGAGTCTGAATTAGCTTTCTCTCGAGACAGTGAATGCTGCCACGGGAGCTGCTCCTTTCCCGTTGGAAGCCTGATAGCAACCCTGCTGTAGAAGCTGTTCATACATATTGCAGCTTACCCATGAAGAAGTACAAGCTGGTTACAGTTGAAAAACAGCCGGGGCTTTGGCCATCTTACAGCTGTCCAAATGCACAAATTCATTTAACAAATTGTATCTCTTCATTTTATTTTTTCCTGAAGATCTTAGCCTCTTGTGTAGTATCTACACTGAATGTAAGCCCATCAGATAAGGCATGTTTGTATATATGGGGTTTTTTTATAGCTATTAAAGGCTTGGATTCGTTGGAAATGTGTAAATTCCAGCATTCAATTCTTGTAACTAGGTTTTTAATGCTGAGGGATTTGGTAGGGTTTATTTTACCAAAATGGGGAAAAGTCAAGGTTTATTCATTACTGTAAATCAGTAGCTTAATTTTATTTCATAATTGCATTTAAGATTAGAGCCATAGAGAAACTTCTCAGCACTGTATTTTTCAGTTTGTGTGTATAGTGAACTGAAAAAAAAAAAAAAAAAGGAACTATTACATAGGGCTTGTTTAAGGAGCTCTGTTCATTTCATTGTTCGGTTTGTTTAGTATGTGCTGCAAGATCTGCTGTACCACAGTTCCAGGGAAGAACACTGTGATGATTTCAAGCAGTCTCAGCTAATGAATCTGGCCAGCAATGATGGAGGAAAAATGTATTTAAAAGGGTATGTGTGCAGGGACCCTACTTGGCAGTGAGTAGAAAGTTTACAAACTCCGTAATTTGTTTTTCAATTATCAACTACTTAAATATTTGATTTTTTACTTTCCAAAAAAGGTGCTTATTTCTGAAACATTTGACCGTAGAGAGCTGCAGCATGAGGAAATGGCCATGCAGTGGACTAGGTTTCATGTAGATTCTTCTGTTCAGTTCCTTTCATTTTATTCAATTTTTAATACTTGTCTTCAGATCTTGAGATAAAAAGTACAAAAGAAACAACCTTTCTGTCTTGATCCGCTCATCAGTGCTGTTACAGCTGTAACTGTTCAATGTATATACTCCAGTCCCTGAAAGCCTCCTGTGTTGAGGGGGAAATGGGGAATCTTGATTTAGCTTTCGGTGGAGTCTGCTTTATTTGCGTGGAGGATTGCCACCTTTCTGGATGGGAAACGTACGATCAGGCTTAGCAGCGTAAGTCTTTCAGCAATATTGTATGACGAGAGTTTAGTTGATTTGGTTTTAATTCAACATCGTGTGCAGATCTCTCCTCACGTATCTGCTCAGCATGCTGTTGCTGTATTCTCTGCAACTGTAGAAAACTGATGGTGCTAAAATCCTTATTAGTTGTCATTAGGTGTAGTGGTTTTTCATTAGAAAAATGAATGTACTACAACTCGATGCAGTTCGGATTTTTTCACCTTTTTAGGTGATAGAAAAAATATTTTTGGACTTGTTGAACAGTTAATAGCTTATATGAAAATTTTGTAATGGTTTCAAAATGCCTTCACATGTAAATATGTATTTTATAATAAACAATTAAAAAGTATTTTAACCTATGTTGCTGTATTTCCTGTGGTCTTTCTGTGGTAATTCATTAAACAGTGCCTTCTGTCTGCATTTTCTGTAATGTCAAAGATGTTAATTTTTGTGCTCCCTCAAATTTCTTTGGGACTTTTTCAGTTTAAATTCATCATCTTTCATGTGATCTGTCTGAAGTTTCCTCCTGAGGTTTCTGTACAGTTTGCACTTAGTCAGATGCGGTTTCTGGGAGGAGAAGGTGAGTAATACATTACATGAAGTAACCGAAAAACACTGAAAAGGAGACGACCCTGCAGTGAGGTGACGTGCCCCCAGAGGGAGGTGTGACTCCAGCACAGTGCTTGACCTCCCAGCACTGCAGCGGCCACCTGCAGCGTGCTGGTCCTGGCTGCCTTCCTCCCGGATGCGCAAGTGTATTCAGAACCAGCTTTGGACAGGTTCAGATTTGTACCGGCTGCCTTCATGCTGGTTTTGTCGCTACAGATAAGCATAAAGCTGGCATGAACTCGGCTTTTTAAATAGCTCTTGTGCATCTGCTCTAGGGGAGAAACAGAAGTAGGCCAGTTTGTGCAGATTCAGTTGTAATGACTTTTTTGATAGCAGAGCTTTCATTTTGAAAGACTTAAACTGTAGTTACCAACCCAAAGGGATGTAGAGGGGCATAGCTGTGAAAACGTGGCTGGCTTTTCTCTTTGTAAACTTCCTTTTGCAGGTAAGACTGCCAGCGAGGGGGAGGCGTCGTGGGCAACATGAAGTGAGAAATGAGGCTATTGTATCCAAGTCTTGCAAGCTGCATCCTGTCTGCTAGGACAGTGGTTTTCCCCAGCCAAATGGATTTTCACTAATTCTCCAATTGAAAATACCGCCTCCTTAACGCTGCTTGAAGTGGATTCAGAGCTTCCATGTTTACTACAGGTCAGCTTTCCAGAGAGTCATAGTTAAAAGGTTATTAACGCCACTGGGGAGAATACCGTAAATCTGCTAGCACTTTACATATAAGCAGTATGTTAATATTAGGTTGCCACATCCCAAGTGTTGTACTAAGATGTGGCCTCAAGAAAATTTGTGGTTAGAGTGCAATTAAGCAGTGTGGGGAATTGAAACTGATTTTCTACATAGTTTCCTGTTAGGAAATACTCTTCTTAAGTTCCTGTCCTGTGACTCATGGAGGGTTTTTTTGTTTTTGATACTTGAGGAGCAGTAAGAACTGAAACTGGGGACACAAAAGGAGTTGCTATGAAGAAACTGCAAGTGTCTAAGAAGTGCTGGGATCTCAGATGAAAGAAGCTGAACATGTCTAAATCTGTCTCGAGGCCAAAGAAACTGAGTTTACTGTAGCGTCCAAAGCTCACAATAAGCACATAACTCATCACCCAAGTAGCAGTTCTTGAAAAACAGATGTCAGGTGAACACGATGCCGAACTCATAAAACTTCTCAACTTCCTTGAGTGACCGGAGGTGTATTAGACGGCAGGTGAGTCAGAGGTGGATTACACTTGCGGTTCCCAACCTGCCTGCAGCCAGGTTGAGCTAGAAAGCTGGGTGGAGCTGATGGGCACGGGGCTCACGCGGTGCCTCATCTTGAAGGTTAATACACCTGAGTAACGGGGAACCTTTGGTTCAAGGGAGCCCAGTTTATCCTGCGCGTGCACTCCACGGCGGTGCTCCCCAGCCTCTCGGCTCCGGCACAGTGAACTTAAGCTGCAAGCATCCTCCCTGCCTTCTCTTACATGTCATCCGTCGTGGTTCCCAGTAACAGAAAAACAGCTCTGCGAGAGTTTAGTCGCAAGAATTTCAGCTAGTTAACGTGTAGATACGGGGCTCAGGCAGATGAGGTTGTGGAATACACTCCAGATGTATTGGGCCTGTGGGCAGAATGCATGTCCTTCAGCTCCATCCCCTCCCCAAAAAGCTCTTTAGGTATGACCTGGGTATTAAGCTATATAGGGCAGTTTTTGACACTGGTAGAGGTACGGAATGGACAGGTGATGAATTATTCCTTAAAAGCACCAGTGACATTTGGGTGTCATTTGCGTGGGAGAAGGGAAACGGAGAAGGTGTGAGGCTATTTTATACAGTCATGTTCCTTAACGGATCTGGCCTGTTCTTGTCTCCTAAGGTTCCTTCCAAGGAGAGGAGTGTTTCCTCTAAATGGCTGGGACAAGCTCTCAGCCAGACAGTTTCATTTCAGAGGGTGAGGGCACAGTGCTGATGGAAATCTCGGAAAGACCCAGAGGGGATGGGGAGAGACTCAGCCAAATGAAAAACAGGCAGCGAGTGTTAAGTGCACTTCCCCAACAAGAGCTGAGAAGCGAGAAAGCTTACAAAAGCAAATTACTGTAGCATGACAGTAGAACAAGTAAGCTCTGCTCCATACAGGGACCTCAAGAAAAACCTGGAAAGGGCTTTTTGTTATTAAGATGATGATTTTTTCTTTTTTTTTTTTCCTACATGTCTGAACTGTGGTGGGGAAGTTGTGACGAGAACACAGCAACTCCCAGAAATGTGTTGTGGTGGGTTGACCTTGGTTGGCTGCCAAGTGCCCCCCCAGCCACGCTCTCTCCCCCTCCTCAGCAGGACAGGGGGAGAAATTATGATGAAAAAGCTCATGGGTTGAGGTAAGGACAGGGAGATTGCTCACCAATTACCGTCATGGGCAGAAGACTGGAGCTGGGGAAGATTAATCTAATTTATTGCCAATTAAAAATAGAGTAGGATAATGAGACACAAAACCACCTTCCCCCCACCCTCCCCTTCTTCCTAGGCTCACCTTCACGCTTGACTTTTCTACCTCCTCTCTCCGCAAGCAAGGGGGACGGGGAATGGGGGTTGGGGTCAGTTGCTCCTTCCTCCTCATGCTCTGCCCCTGCTCCAGCGTGGGGTTCCCCCATGGGCTGAAGTTCCTGCCAGGAGCCTGCTCCTGTGTGGGCTCTCCATGGGCTGCAGCTTCCTTAAGGGCATCTCCACCTGCTCTGGTGTGGGGTCCTCCACGGGCTGCAGGTGGGTATCTGCTCCACCGTGGTCCTCCACGGGCTGCAGGGGGACAGCCTGCATCACCATAGTCTTCTGCACGGGCTGCAGGGGAATCTCTGCTCGGGCGCCTGGAGCGCCTCCTCCCCCTCCTCCTCTGACCTTGGTGCCTGCAGGGCGTTTCATCCCTTTTCTCACTCCGCTCTCCCAGCTGCAGCTGTGCTGCAGTGGGTTCGTCTTGGAGCCGGCTGGAGCTGGCTCTGCCCAACATGGGGGCAGTTTCTGGTGTCTTCTCACAGAGGCCAGCCCTGCAGCCCCCCACTACCAAAACCTTGCCACGTAAACCCAACACGTGTGTGCATACTGCTGAGGGATAACGTGTAACCCTCCCCTTGGGGAGCCCATGCAGCATTGCAGTAAGCGCAGCTTGTGCCGGGCATCGCAGAACTGCTGAAGCATGGAGGGAGCTCAGAGGTGCACGGGGATTTGGATCCCCTGGGACATCCCTGTTGGTGCTGGTGATGGCAGCGGGGCGGCAGGCTGTCAGCAAGGAGGAGGTGCCTGGCACAACCGCAGTCCGTGGGGTTGCTGGGAGCAGCAAGCCGGTGAGTGGGCTCCCCCCAAAAGCTGTGCTGGTGCAAACATCCAGTCCATCAGGGGCACCGAGGTGTGAGCTTCACATGTGGCAGGTGCATCTCTGAGAAGACTGTCAGGGATGGATGGAGGCAGCGGGGATGTTGCCAGCCACACTCTGTGGGGACCGTATTTGGGAGCCAATGCCTCAGGCCCCTTCTGGGGCCTTTGTGGCACGCAGAGGCCTTTCGCAGCAGAGCTGGTTTCATGGATGCTGGGGTATTACTTGTGGACATGATATCTGGAAACGAGCACGCATGTCTCTATCTGCGATGGCCGTGGTGTCTGGTTCTCACGGCTGTGAGCAACTGGGAGTCTGGCAGCTGGGGTGCATCTGGTTTCATTGCCTGTGATGTCTTGGGAATGAGATCTTGAAAAAGTTGGGTTTGGGTGTCTTCAGCAGCATTGTTGGAGGGCGATAGTGTTGTGGCATCATGTCTTTTGGGAGCACCTTCGTGGATGACGTTTGTGACTGAGCTGGGATTTGGGATGACGAACGAGCCTTGCTGGTGCTGGTTTCCAGGTATTTATGCCTGAATCCCTCACAGTAACCTGCCGTTGTGGGGAGCATCGCTCGCCTCGCTCCAGCAGCTCTGCCCGTTCGGGGCTCCGTCGGCATGACCTGTGCTTTCGTGTGGAAAAGGCTTGCTGCAGAAAGCGGCCTCCTACATCGGACGCGGGAGAGATGGCCTCTGCAGTAACAGGTCACTGCGCGCTGCTTTACATTTTCAGGGTTGATAATCTGCGGGTGCGCCAGGGTGCCAGGAGCGAGCGCGGGGAAGGGTCAGGGCGGCAGCGGGGTAAGGGGGCGGCAGCGGGGTAAGGGGGCTGCCGGGATGACTGGCGTCAGCGTCGGCCCTGGGG